TTGGTGTGTACAGGACTTGTCTAATGACAAGTATCAGAAGATTAAAAAAAAATTAAAGAAACATATAGTATGATAATTAATTTTGTTAAGTTTATTACCTCCGCCACCGAAGGTGGACAGGGGATATGTTTTCACCCCTGTATGTGTGTGTGTGTGTGTGTGTGTGTTTGTCAGCAAGATTTCTCGAAAATGGCAGAATGAACTTGGACGAAAGTTGGTAAACATTTGGACTATGGCCCAACTTAGAAGTGATTAGTTTTTGGAAAGTCAAAGGCTAAGGTCACAGCAAGGTCACGAAAATCTAAAATCCTTATCTGTTAATATCTGAGTCAAAAATGATCGGAATTTGATTAAATTTTGGGGACATATGTAGAATAATATTCCTCGTTGTCCTGCCAAAAATGGTCCGTGTCTGTCGATAACGACGAACATTCTAACGCATTTTCGTATTGTTTTAGGAGCCGAATATGATCGGCGCTGCGTGGCGGAGGTATTCTCTCTACAGAGTGTCCCTCTAGTTTAGGAGATTGATTGATAATGTATTATTTAGCAAATATTCATCTTTACTGAGTAGTACATACATTCTTTGGAGGCAGGTACTCTGTCGTGTAAAACTATAAAACAAAACATTTTCAAATAAAATGGTTACATAGTAGAAAAATATAATCACGCAGAAAGGCTCAAAACGCTCAGTTTAAGACCAATGGTCAAGTGTCTTTCAGTTAGAAAGGAGGTTTCGATTAATGGTAATTCTTTAGACAGAAGCCAAATGTGAGTGAAATTTAAATGACATTATAAATTATATGCGTGATAAAAACGTCCGAGAACAGTGGAGTTTATCAGTAATTTAATATAAGGGCTTGGCGTGTTCTATAGGTTAGCATATCCAGACAGTGGGTCGAAAAGTTTGTGTTTCACGTTCCAAAGGGCTTGGCGTGTTCTATAGGTTAGCATATCCAGACAGTGGGTCGAAAGGTTTGTGTTTCACGTTCCAAAGGGCTTGGCGTGTTCTATAGGTTAGCATATCCAGACAGTGAGTAGAAAGGTTTGTGTTTCACATTCCACACTTTGAATCCATAGGTGCATTTTGTAAGACTAATGGTCAGTTCATATCTCACTATTCAGTCGGACAGGAATACCCCAACAGTTGGCGGTGGGAACTATTGACTAACTGCCTTCCTTCTAATGTATCCGCTCAGAATTAGAGATGAATATGCACAGATAGGCCTTGTGTAGTTTTGCGCGAATATTCTAAACAAGCAAACAGTATTAAAATCTAAATCTTAATGTGACACATGATTTATTCAGATTTTATAGTCGTAGATGGGGAGGGGCTGATGCCCTTGCTCATCTCTTATGTTTTTGTTCCTGTATCCATCTTAAACTTAGTAGATTAACAGTTAGCGTTATAACTGGGGAGGGATGTTTAATTTATTCATTTAATTGTCATACAAACCTCTCGAAGCAAAATGAAAGGAGTTAATAAATCTTGTATGAAAAACGTTATCAATCTAAAGTATTTTCCAAACAATCAGTTTCTAAGTGCAAAATTAAATGGTGTCAAATAATTGTTTATTCAATCAACAGTATAGGTGGCTGCGAAATAAGCTTGACGATTATCTGTCTTTGATGAAAACTATTTTAGCTTTAAACAAAGTTGTTAGTTTAGTCTTATCGAACTAACCGTTTTTCCAAACATAATTGTCAGATATTTTGAAGATTTCATTTCGAGTGCTCAATCAATTGATCGAAAAAGAAAAGGGTTCTTTCAAAAATGAAATTAAATAAACAGATTTCTAAAGAAACCCGTTCTGTAACCCCCTAAAAAAACCCAAAAAAACAACGTTCGTGGTTATGACAACCATCTTTTCCGGCCGTTTTATCCATCACAGCAGACACAGTAACGAGTTTCAAACAAAACAAGATTTTTCTATATCTAAGCAGTTAGGTTTCTTTTGTTTCAATGCAGAGACGAGTCGAAATATTCCTTTTGTATGCGACACAAGATTTCGTTTTGCGGCTGACTTAGGTTGCACGAGACGGTCTTCTCATGCAGAACGATTCATCAGCCTCCCCCCCCCCTCCCCCAAATCGCTTTCTTGTACCGTCCTTTCCCATAACGACAAAGTCCCCGTGTATACAGGTGTGTCGTGGAGACAGGATTTTACTGAAGTGCAACACTACAATCGATAAGTCCTGCTTAGAAGCGAATACCCAAACCGTAAAGTAATAACAATGGAGCCTTGCTCAGCATGTTGATTGAATAACACCGTCTGATAACACTGCCAGAGCTAAGAATAGTAAGGACGATTCTCAAAATGGCGATAAAGTTATATACATTATTAGATTTGTATAAACTTTTAAAAATATTGAAATAAAAACTTTCGATATGTGTAGTGTAATTTGGAGGTACAAAGGCAGTTTAGTATAGTAATTAGCGCGTGTGTTTTGGAGGTACAAAGGTAGTTTAGTATAGTAATTAGCGCGTGTAATTTGGAGGTACAAAGGCAGTTTAGTATAGTAATTACAGCTTATTACATAGTAAGCCATAGTTAGTCGTTGAGTTTATCTAATTAAAGTAATAAATATATGTAATTCGTGAACCTCTCGATTACATCGCTTGCATATACAGGATACTAGGTACACTAGATATTCATATAAAAATCGTTATTACATTTTTGGATAACATTAAAACATACATACATACATTACTTTTAATAACATAATTCGTTAACTAGCTTATTGTATTATAAATGTAATAGTATAAATATGAAATTCATAATGTATATAATTATATATACACATAAGTACAACAACCAGGCTAAACACAGTTAACCCTTTCACTGCTATGTTTATGGATAACTTTCCTAGTACCAGGTTTATTTTTTAATACACAATAAAAACAAAAACACGTTTTGTTATTGCATCACTTATCTGAAACATCAAGTCGGTTGAAAAGTTTGAAGGGGAATACCCTTTCTACACGGTACTATATAAACATTTACCCTTTCTTCACGGTACTATATAAACATTTACCCTTTCTACACGGTACTATATAAACATTTACTCTTTCTACACGGTACTATATAAACATTTACCCTTTCTACACGGTACTATATAAACATTTACTCTTTCTACACGGTACTATATAAACATTTACCCTTTCTACACGGTACTATATAAACATTTACCCTTTCTTCACGATACTATATAAACATTTACCCTTTCTACACGGTACTATATAAACATTTACCCTTTCTTCACGGTACTATATAAACATTTACCCTTTCTACACGGTAGTATATAAACATTTTACTTTCAAGGCTAGAAAAAATTGTATATAGTACTTCTTATATATGTAGCAATGTTAGTGATAAGTTACACAGCCAATAATATAGGTCTTTGAAATATGAGTGCTTAAACTAGAAACAGCAGAAATATAACTACGTTACAGATTCACGAACAGTATCAGGATGTTACACATATTATCCTTTACACGTTAAAATGTAGTTTTTATGTTCATATAAAGAACAAATGGTCATTTTAATCTAGTGTATAGTATTTCCTGCGTGAGTGCAAAATCTGAGAGTTTTGAATTCAATTTTGAAGCCTAAATATGGAATGTTTCTGGTCTGGGCAGCATATTTTGTCTCACCCTGTAAATGTATATCAGACTAACACCTATGAATTCAACAAGTGGTTTAAAAAGGGCTATCTGAAGTTATATGCTTTGGTAGGCAATCTTAACGTAGCATGTTTCACTTTTCCCAAGTACTCTAACAGGTTTTAGTCAGGTTCCCACGTGCAGGTGTTCGTGTGAGTTTCACGGTGGTGATTTCATGCCTAGGACTCAGATCAATGCCTAGTTCATCACGTAATGTCTACTCGGGGCGTGTTGCTTGCGTGCTTTCCATCTAATAGTCTGTTTTTGCCCTATACTGCATTGTTAAGGTTACCATAACGACGCATTGACATTTTTGATTGGCCGCTTTCTTTCACCACGTGATGTCCCGTGTGCGCTGGTGAGACTGTATGGGAGAAGGCACGGGACTTAATACTAGTATTCTATGGATAGACGTTTGACGATGTTCCACGGAATCGTTTATGCGCATGCGTATATTAAGTCATGAGCTTTGAGAAAGATTTCAGTGTACGGACGGGTCATGAGTGTGAAAAATCCCTTTTTAGTGCGTAAGAGTGTTAGAGTGATTCAGAAATACTCTGTGTAATGCGATAGCCGTTTGTAATATCCCGTGATGCAGTGCGGTTAAATCTTTGCAATGAGTGGTTTAAAGTTTTGTAGTATTTACTAATGCCTGATTTATTTATATATATATATATATATAACATGTATATCGTGGTTCATAGACTGGGACATCTGCTGGGCACTTTTATAATTTGTAGTCTTTTACACTTTACTCACATTATCTTAAACGTTTGATGAACAAAACTTTCGTACTCTCCCTTCACGTGATGAGTGCTGCGTACAAGAAAAATAAAGACCAGTAAAACAAAAGGTGTCCAGTACTATAAAAACGTCTTCAGAAACTTGTCTCAGATAATATTGTCATAAAAATTGAAACTTACTAGCTGATCAACGTGTCTTGAAGCTAGTTTTACTAGGATTGATTGTGACAGCAGCGTTGTAGATTGAAACCGGGTTCATCAACGATGGTACACGTGAGGCCATTGCGTGCCCTCGAGATTGAATAAGCATTACATGCTTGTAAAAGGTGTTGTGTTCCTTAAAGGTGCATCATCTTTGTGTAGCTCAATATGTGTAATATAATATGGAATATGAAACGTGGAATTATTCTTGTAACCAGAAAATACTGTGCGTAATGAACCAGCGTGAAAACAGATCTTCAACTCGGGAGTGTTTCGGTTCATGAGGTGAAACCAGGGTTTTATATTTTAGAATTACTTTTAATCTGTGTGATCTGGTAGTCAAAAAGAAAACCGCCTCTTCGCCAGGTTGTGGTAAGGTGTTTCGTTTTCATTAAATCCTCCGGATGTTTCAGTGAGCAAGAACTGGGATTCACACCATCCGCCAATATCTACTGATAAAGATTTATCCATACACCTTTATATATATTAATATTATTATTATTATTTACGTATAAGTTAACCTGTGAACACTTTGTCACGATTTTTCTTTCTATGGTTTTGGTTTTTGTTTTAGGTTTCAGGCTGACATAACAAGTCTCCATCGTATCATCTTTAAAGATGTTACCTAACATAGAGGCATTTTCTCTCTTCCTATTCCTAATTTACTCAGTGGCCCCCCCTACCTCGGCTGATGGTAAGTAAGCATTTTAATATGTGTATGTATATATAGTCACTTAAGTGGACAGTTGTTGAGAAATTTTCGAAAACATTCTAATGAAAGAATGCAAGTGAAACTGTTATCGGTTTCTTACATTGAATAACAAAACCACTGTTTTATATAGGGTGCGAGTGAGATAAGAAATCGATAACACAAGTCACACAGTTTGTTATTCAAAGGCCACTGTAGAATACACGAAAAGCTTTTCAATTTTCAATACTGTACACACATCATATTTTAAGCATATGATATTTAAATACGTAAATTCAAATAATCTGTAAGTATTTATATAGGTTTACTTTATTTTGTTCAGAACTTTCTTCAGAGCTGTTTTGTGTTATTGATTTCTTGTTGTTTTTGTTTATTTTCATGGTATTTTTATGCACATAGTTATCTAATTAAAAACGCTAGTTCTGTAAAGTATGTCTAAAGTACCTGCATAGAAATGTGTCTAGTAAAGTGAAGATTTTATAAAGCTGACATCATCTCAGAGTTCAGATGGTTGATTGGCATGTATCATGAAAACCTTTTATGTTAAACCGCCAAGAACGTCAGTCGTAGGGCTAATAAGCTTCTCTAGGATCTGGATTTTGTACAATGAACTGGCAGGTTGAGTATCATACCGACGTAAAATTATCATAAGAGAAAATAGTTGATGGATTTTATATCCCAGTTGCTGTATTGATAAGTAATTAGGCTACTTTACATGTGGTAACTCAATCACTGTGGTAATCAGTTATGGAGCTCTTTTTACATTTTCTAACAAAGTCACTACTGATAAATAACGAATCATTACATTTTCTAACAAAGTCACTGCTGATAAATAATGAATTATATATATATATATATATTGTAATGTAATTTCTGTGATCGTTAAAACAAAACTGAATAATGTTACCGCGTTTTAACACAACGAGATTAAATAATGATGAAACAAGGTCACATTTTCCTTCGTTTAAGAATGTTTTAATAGTTCACTAACTATTTTCCAGTCTTTCCACCAGATAGCTTCCAAAGTTTGACCTAGAAATCTAAGACTATAATTTTCAAAGATGTATTTTTACTTATGGCAAAATTATTAAGGCTATCAGCCGTCGTTCCCAATTTGGAACTACTGACCAGAGGGAAGGTAGCCAGTTAGCAGCATGATACCTCCCACAATTCACGTTAAGGGATTGATTGTCACTCTTATAATGCACCCACAGCTGAAAATGCTGGGAATATTATTTCGTATCGCACAGCCTCGAACCTAGTGCGCCAACTCCGAAATCCTGAGCTGTACCTGCGCCCCACATTTATCAAGCATGTATTTGATTGAAGTCTTTGTTTTTAATCTTAATAACTTATGTTTTAGTCATGAACATATCGCTGAGATACGAGTAAATTATTAACATTTTTCTAAGACGTACGTATCGTATACGATAACATCAAAATACGTGTGATGTCTCCTCCTCAGCTATTTCATAATTTAATAAGTCTCCTTATTAAAGTCAGGTATACAGTTGCTTCTATTTCCCGTATCGAACCGGCCAAAGGTGTGTCCTGTTCTACAAAACAGACGCATTAAGGCTATGTTCTAGAAATGCTTTCTTTTGTTTTCTTATAAAAAGTATATGCTCCAAGACTGTAACCAAGGGATTGGATTAGTTGAAGAGTTTTTATCGTAAAGCAATACTTGATGGATGTAATGTAAGAGCCATAGGACTTCGTGACTTATAAATTATTCCTTAATCTGCAGAGCTTCAAACTGTTCTCTTTAAGAGGATGAACTTCCCAAGTCATATAACGTTTGGTGCGTAGAGTGGGTGACGATACACAGTGTCAGTGATAAAACAGAATGATTTCTCTTCATCATACTGAAACAGAGATACATAATTAGATAGATAGTCAGGCAAATAGACAGATGGATTGAAGTAAGTAGACGAATATGATAGAAATAAACAGTTGGGCAAGTAGAAGGATCAATGGATTACGGCTAGGGAGAAATGATAGATAATTCGACAGGACGTATACTAAAGTGTCGAGTTTTGGATGCTGTAGGGGAATTATTGCAGTTGGTTAAAATATGAGTAAAATTGGATCGCTTCATAAATTATGGTGCTCTCTCGGGTATATCTTTTCTTCACAAACATGTAACGTAGGTGTTTCCTTGAAATCTGACACTTAAGTGTTTTCGTGGAGTTCAACTCGTAGGTTTTTGTACGTGAGCTGACAACAGATTGTTGGTATAATACTGAAGTTGTAGTTTGGATAATGCGATGTTGTAAAGGTCATTCTGAACTCTTTCCACTTCTTCACTTACAACGATTGTATGTTGTAGTTGGCGTAAGAACAACGACCTGAATTGTATTACAAAATAGATATATTCAATCAGACTCTATACGAAACTTGTTTGTTTAACATTTCATTTTCTTTTTCAGGGTCTTTAAATGTGAAATTGAATATTTCAAAGAATGATTGTGTTTTTAGGAAAGAAAGATGTGTACGTTATTTATTCAGAAGGTTCAAGTAGCTGTGGTACACTCTGATTACAACGCAAAGTTATGCAATCGAAGAATGGTCAGGGTAGGTAGAATAGGAATTTGTTCAGACACCACAGGACCAGTCGCGATGCATATTTCTCCTGCTGCTGAGGAAGGACTGGGATACGTGAAATAGAATTTCTTAAACCAGCGCATGTAGATCCCAGTAGAATCGTAGTGGGATTATTTTTAATGTGGAATGACATGGATACGTGTGCAAGTAGTTCTTTAGGCTGGCAGCAAGGATGTATAATTACGCGAGCATCTGTTTTCAGCTTATGGCGTAATTATAGACTATTCCAATTACTTGATGATCCGAATACTTTGAAATATGTATCGTAAAAGAACAGGCTTTTAGATTAAATCATTCTAGGCTTAATAGTTAGTGTGTGATGAAAATCGCGAGATGAAATTCTTCAATAGCAAAAAACAAAAGTAATGATAATTTCTGGTTTTTAGTTAATAGTTTTTATATACCTCTTTGTCCATGTAGGGACTTATTATCAGCAATTCACATGCTTTAACTATCAGTACATATTATATATTAGAATAATCAAACGTGGCCAACGCTGTACTCTTTATGAAACCGGTGTGTCAACCTGGCTTTGTAATGGTTATGGGTGAACAGACACCTGATTGAAGACTGGTCATAAAGTTATAGACATGCGTTCAATATTTCCTCCTTTGTAGAATTGCACGTATTCTTTATTTCAGTAGGAATATCACGCGTTTTCATGGAGACGGAGTTGAAGTTGTGTTTTACAATCCCAGTTTTGTGCATTAACTTACAGATAATTGTGTAGGTTTAGTATTTCTTATTTTATGTAAGTTTGTTGTATTTTTACACGTTGTCATACATGCAACGATAAAATTCAATATAGTTGTCGTGTCTGCAACATTTTCTTTTCGCAAGTTACGTCTGATAACTGCTAAACTTTTATTTTTTGTTCTGATTTAGCGACATCTACACAAGGAACAATCTGCTCTGTCTATTATGTGGAATCAAACCCCGGATTATAACGTTGTAAGTGCGTAAACGTACCGCTGACCCACATGTAAGCAACAGCTAGATATCGTTACTAGTTCCATGTAGCTCTCAGTGGCTCAGCGGTAAATTTAAAGGCTTAAAATGCTAAAAACCGGGTTTCGATACCCTTGATACACACACAGCGAAGATAGCCCATTGTGTAGCTTTGTGCTTAATAACAAACAAAGCTTCGTGTGAGAAACAATTCTGCTATTAACACTCCCCCAGAACACATACCACACTGACTACGAAGATAATAGCAACTCCAACACCGTGGGCACCTAGTGGTCACGTGGTACCGATTATGTTTTGTTTAAACCAATTGATTTCATTTATTATTTTGTGTTTGTTTTTATGGCATCATACAAGTTACATGCCCCCCCCCCCCCAGTAGCACAGCGGTATGTCTGCGGACTTACAACGCTACAATCCGGGTTTCGATACCCGTGGTGGGCAGAGCACTGTACTTGGTGCTTAATTACGAACAAAACAAAATCAACAAGTTACACTTGAGAAAAGAATACTTACGTAAGAGTAACTATTTTGGTGTCTCTTCTTCTTGCTTATATGCATGTTTATCGGCACGTCGTTGGTGTTTTTAAACAAAAAAAATAAAATGTTTTTGAGTGGATTGAATCATATTTGTACGGTCGCCATGGTAGCAAACTCATTTTCTATACCAGTTACCGCGGCACTGACACACAGGATTTCTCTCGCCCACACGTAAATCGCTACATCCCAGCAATTCATATTTTAAATTATAGCGTTATGATTAACTTTTCTGTAAGCGTGGGTGATTTCAACAGTTCTATGAAAGTTAAAGGTTTAGGATATTAATTTTGTTACAGAGTTATAATGGAGTATTATCAGGTGGTAACAGATTTATTACACAACTAAGCAGTACATCTGTACTGCGTCAAACTTTTTAAACATATTTCCTGTATCTGAAGAATTTCTAATACCTCGTTCAAGTTGTAGATTAACATAAGTGTCACTAATTACTTACATAATGTAAAAGACCAGCCAGTTCCCACTTTATATCCTTGTGTATCCCATAGCTAGACTTACTAGACCAACCAGCACCCACTTTATCCAGCTATCTATCCATTAGCTAGAATTACTAGACCAATTAGGGTCTACGTTATCCAGTTGTCTATCAATTAGCTAGAATCACTAAACCAATTAGGGTCAACTTTATCCAGATGTCTGTCCATTAGCTGGACTCACTACACCAATTAGGGTCCACATTATTCAATTGCCTATCCATTCGCTAGACTTACTAGACCATGTCCCCTGGTGGGATAGCAGTAAGTCTACGGAATTGCAACGCTAGAATCAAAGGTTCGATTGCTCTCGGTGGACACAGCAGATACACGCCCACTTTATCCAATTGTGTATCCACTGGCTAGACTCACTACACCAATTAC